TGCCACATTATTTACATAAATTATGATCATAAAATAGTTCAGTACAGTTTTCAATGTGAAACAAATGGGAAAATAGGACTGTGACCTCAATTATACCCATAATTGATGTAAGTCAAAGATCTTGTTAGGAAATGTGCATGTCCTATGGGTTATCTTATAACCTTCCAAAGTAAATTTAGAAGAAAAGGAAGTATAAAAATTAACAATTCTTGGGACCAGCAGTTAGCGTAATGGCTATGTCGCTGGACTTCCATGTAGTTGACCGCAGTTCGCGTGTCGGACCCAGTGGCTTAAAACTCACGCTGGGCGCGTGTGCGTGCGTGCCCAAGATCCCGAGAGGAGAATGGAGGAGAAGGGATTGCGGTGTGGCCATCCCCCCTGGGGGGGGGTGATTTCTCTTTTTCTGTCTGTCTCTGTCTGGCGAGCGCACATGCCCTGTAGCAAAAAAAAAAACTTCTCAAAAAAAAATGTAACAATTCTTTTACATGAACTGATCTAGCATACTGAACATTAAATATATATACTTGTTAGCTACAAATTCAGAAACTGAGGCATTGACTTTTAAAAAGTATTTAAAAACACTCATGAAGAAAAAATAGATGAAACAGAAATTCACTCCTCCAAAACTAATTGAGATAGAACTAGTCATGACAATAAGCGGACTACATATAAAAGAAAAAAGAGATGAATATGAACATCACCTGCACTATTGGTACAATCACTTGTCTTTCTATGTGATTCCTGAAATACCCAGAATGAAAATCTTTCAAGAGACCACAGGTCAAATCTATTTACTACAGTTTAAGGCCAAGTCCTCCAGCAGATTACTATGACTTAAACAATAACACCCTTGTGAACCAGCAGTTAGCGTAATGGCTATGTCACTGGACTCCCACGTAGTCGACCGTGGTTCGCATCCCGGCCCCGGTGGCTTAAAACTCACGCCAGGGGCATGTACGTGTGTGCCCAAGATCCCGAGAGGAGAATGGAGAAGGGATTGCGGCGTGACCCCCCCCCGGGGTG